TGAAAGGTCTCGATGAGTGTAATGTCGGGGTGAGCTTATATCTTTAAAAATGTCATTAGTTCACAAGATACAATGTAATTTCTTAATTACTGACATTTTTTAAGATATAAACTCATTTTGATGTTACACTTATCGAGACTTTTACTTTGAGTACCCACATGGCATTTTTTATATATTTCATATATATAGTATTTATGAAATATATAGATATATAAAATATATGAAAAATTGATGTGGGTACTCAAATGAAAGGTCTCGATGAGTGTAACATCAAAATGAGTTTATATCTTTAAAAATGTCAATATTTCACAAGATAGATCATTTCTTAATTATATACCTTAATAAAAAAATTTTTTCTTAGCTAAATTATTGAAAAAAAAATTTTTTTCCAGTAGCTTAAAATACAATTAACAATTACTAATTTTACAATATAAATTAATTACAACTAATGAATACAAAGTTAATATTTACAAATAAACTTCAACTGTACCAATATTTGAATTAAATACATAAGTCCATAAAGTATTTACTGAAACTGATAAATATTATCATTATCATTATCATACATTTAGTGTCTAGATATATAAAAAAAAAAAAAAAAAAGATACTATATTGATAGCGACACTATTATTAAATACTTAAAAATTAAAAATAAATCGTAAATAGGTCACCCGTTAGAATGCCAACAGTTTAACAAATATTTATAAACTTAATTACAAAAAAAATTATTTATAAATAATTAATAAAATAATATAATTTTTTAAAAAATAAGTTTAAATTATTATAATAATAATAATAAAGATAATAATAATAATAATAAATTACCATTTAACGAAGAACAGAAATAGAGAATCGATAATAAAAAAATGCTTAGTGCACAATGAGTACAAAGACGTTGACTAAAACGTGAAACAATTTAATGTTACTTATACGTCGGAGGTTTCTTATTCTCCCACCAGAAGATAAAAGTTTGTACTCATACACTCTTTGCTCGGTACTCCATACTCTCAGCTTCGAACATTTGATCGTGTATCGTGTTATGTATTTGTATAAAATAATAATAATATAATAATAAAAGTAAAATACCACATTCTACTCGTCCTGTTTCTGTCCCCGGTTTATTCACATCCACATCATCTTCTTCACAATCTTTCCTTATCTTACACTCTCTCATCATACATGCATACATATACATATATATATGTATAAATGTGTTTATATGTGGAGACTCTTCATCCCCACTAGTGAGTAAACTCGTCAATTCATTTCCCCACTGATATTTAGTCTCTACTTTATATCAGGCTTGTTACCTTCTTGCTTATACTTGAAACGTTTCGGTTTTAACTTTTTTGCTACTTAGGTATTTTTTTTTTTTAGTATTAAAAATTATCATTTTTAATAATTGATATTAATTATTAACTTAAGATACATAATTAAAAAATGACACTGTATTTTGTGAACTATTGACGTTTTTAAAGATATAAGCTCATCTTGACGTTACACTCATTGAGAGCTTTCATTTGAGTATCCACATCAATTTTTCATATATATTATATATTTATATATTCCATATATATGAAATATATGAAAAATGCCATGTGGGTACTCAAATGAAAGGTCTCAATGAGTGGAACATCAAAATGAGTTTATATCTTAAAAAATGTCAGTAATTAAGAAATTACATTGTAGTTGGTGAAATATTGAACTTTTTAAAGATATAAACTCATCCTGGGATTATACTAATTAAGAGCTTTTATTTGAGTACCCACATCAATATTTTATATATTTATATATATTATATATTCCACAAATACCATATATATGAAATATATAAAAAATGTCATGTGGGTACTCAAATAAAAAGTCTCGATGAGTGAAACATCGAAATGAGTTTATATCTTAAAAAATGTCAATAATTAAAAAATGACCATGTATTTTGTGAACTATTGAGATTTTTAAAGATATAAGCTCATCTCGACATTACACTGATTAAGAGCTTTCATTTGAGTACCTACATCAATTTTTCATATATTTTACATATTCATATATATCGTATATATGTATAAATGAAAAATATATCAAAAATGCATGTGGGTACTCAAATGAAAGGTCTCGATAAGCGTAACATGAAAATGAGTTTATAACTTAACAAATGTCAATAATTAAGAAACGACATTGTATTTAGTGAACTATTGAGATTTTTAAGGATATAAGCTCATCTCGATGTTATCTCCATTGAGACCTTTCATTTGAATACCCACATCAATTTTTCATATAT